CTCCTTTAAGACCATTACGGCGCGACCGTTCGGCCTACACATTTACTCGTTGACCGTTACGACCGTTCATCACTTCTGTCATTAACTGCTTGAAGATTACCCAAAATTCACCAAGTGTCTCCACCTCGGCATACAGCCTGCACTTCGGACAAATGATCCACTTCGGTTACATCGGTAGATCGACCGAAGATGATCCACCGAACACCATAGGCCATATCGTACCACCGACTTCTTGCCGATCCAGGGTCTCTAAGTACCTGGTATGTTGCAACATCAACGACCATCACTCCGTATGCCCATCGATGTTGGGGGCCTCTCTGTTATCATCCGACTCGGCAAGACGCTGTTAAGAGGTTTTAAGCATCCTATTAAACGCGATTAACGGTTAAACCGACATGAATCATAACCGCACCGATCTACACCAAAGAACCGGTCTGAACCACCAAAGACCGAAGTGATCGACGATTACCGAGGTCAACATCCACCGAGGACAACATGAACCGAGGTCGTCACCTCCTTAAGCAGGTGACAAGGCATCTACGAGAGGCTCTCCTACTCCACAAGATCTGTCATCATTTACGTGGGGCCCCCTGCCTCGAACCGCCCATAAAAAGCCACTTTATTCAAAAAGTAGTACACGGATCCCAATGCCTCAACCCAAAACTACTATAAATAGCGAGCCAATGACAATTGTGAGGGGATCTCTCTCTCTCTAAGTGTTTCAAAACATTACCGAACTGTAAAACCTTTACTACGTAACACGAAAAAGCCCATCACGGCTCTTCACCTCGGTTCACCTCGGACCGAGGCCATTGTTGATTCAATCTTGCATGCTTTACGTTCAAATCATTCCAAATTACTCACTTGATCAAATATTATATCGTTGTTAAGAATTACATAACGACAACTCTACTCCCAATTTGGGGTTTGGAGAACACAACTTTAAACTAAACAAGAGCAAGATTAAAACTTTATCGCAAGCAAGACCTCAAATTGCAATAAAAAGAAAAATAAAGAGAAAAAGAACAAGGTACTCCTAGACCCGAGAT